CCATGTTGGCCAATAGTCCCATGTTGGCCAATAGCTCCTGGGATTCTGGGAGCTGAAGTCCCTCGGCCCTTAAAGGGGAAAGGTTGCCTACCCCTGTTGTAAGCCGTCCCGAGTCACAGCCCTGGGAGAAGGGCGGGATATAACGACAATAATAATGATAATTATAACAACAGCAACAACCACGCTCATAGAAATGTCGATTCATGGTTCTCAGGCTCCCTCCACACTGGCAGGAATAATCCGGTTTGACACCACTTGAATTGCCACGGCTCAGTGCTATGGAATCCTGGGAGTGGTAGTTTGTTGTGGCTCCAGAGCAAAGCTACAGTTACTAGGATTCCCTAGCATTGAGCCACGGCAGTTCAAGTGGTGTCAAACCGGATTGTTTCTGCAGGGTGGAGGCAGGCTTCGTTTCCAAACACACTGCAGAAATAATCCAGTTTCAGGTCGCTTTAACTGTCCTGGCTCAGTGCTAGGGAATCCTGAGAATTGTAGTTCGTTGTGGCTCCAGAGCTCTCTGATAGAGAAGGATAAATGTCTCACAAAACTACAGTCCCCAGAATTCCCTAGCATTAAGCCAGGGCAGTCAAAGTGGTGTCAGACCGGATTATTTCTGCAGTGTGGAGACAGCCTTTAGTGAGGCTCAAAATGGAGGACATTGTGGACTTCTTCCTGGGCAAAAGGTGGGAATGTAGGACAGGTCCTGGAAAAGGAGGACCTCTAGTCACCCTGGAATGAGGTCATGTTTCCCCTGGGAGGGAAAAAGAAAGCCTCTTCAGTGTCATGGGTGGGGAGGAGGGAAAGAGCTGGTTTCAAGAGCTGAAAGAGTTGCTTTCAAAAGGGAGACTGGTTGTCGATATCATCCCGTGGGCGTACATCGAGATCCTCTAGACATGTCAGCCAACCAAGAGTTTCCTCCCTCAATACATTAATAATACCTCATTGTGTGTTCCTGCCTCTTGGGTTTCCCAGTTCCAGAAGCTCTTCCGTGGGCTGAAGATTCCCCTCCAGGCAGGAAACCAGGAATTCCCAGAGGAAAAAAGAGATTTCTCAGAGAGTGTTTACAGGTCTTCATAGAATCATACAGTTGGAAGAAACCCCAAAGGCCATCCAGTCCAACCCCCCTGCCATGCTGGAACTCACAATCAAAGCACCTCTGACAGATGTCCATCCAGCCTCTGTTTAAAGATCTCCAAAAAAAGGAGACTCCATCACTCTCTGAAGGAGTGTCTTCTACTCTCGAACAGCTCTTACTATCAGGAAGTTCCTCCTAATGTTGAAGTGGAATCTCCTGTAGCTGGTATCCATTGTTCTGGGTCCTATTCTCTGAAGGAGCAGAAAACATTTTTTTTTTTTTTTTGGCTTTTAGGGCTAATATTCTGACTATTTGGCCCAGTAGCCTATGGCATGGTCATTTCAAATCTCAAAAGGACTGCCAAGTTATGATGCTGACTTGCTGGAAAAAAACCTTGAGGTGTCCTGCCCTTTCCTTCCATAATATAGAACAAAGTGGATTGAAAATTTAACATGCATGTGATATGTTTGGCTATATGTGCACATGTTAAATAACAATGTGGAAAGGATGTGTCTGTGGACTGTTAACCTTTTTCATCCTGGATCAAATTCAACATATGAACCACTGGCACAACTGTTGAAATACCCTCAGATACCTAATCTTTTTGAATGGGGGTAAGGAAGAAAGCAAGATGCTTTGATAAGAACAGTGGTTGTACATTTCTGCTGTTTTATACAGAATTATCTGTCTACAGCAGTATATTAGTTATCACTTGCATTTTAAGAGTGAGCATACCCACAACATGCAGAATTTAAACATCTCAAACAACTGTTACATAACTGAAAATGGATGCGTTTTACAGTTTTTCAGTTACCTAAGCCATTTTCTAAAGTGGGTGTAGTGAATTCATACATACTTCTTGTGTCTATTCTAAAGGGCTATAGTACATCTATTTAAAAGTGGTACCTACATTTCAGTTCTGTTATCTGTATTGCATTAAAATAGATGACAATTATTTTAGTGAAATTTGCATGTAAAGTGTTGAAAATCAGAATGCCTTGAAAATGTTTTACAGAATGTTAGGATTATTTGTGAGACACTTAGAAATGCAGTTTGATGATTTTTGGAAACATTTCCCTGCTTTGAGTATGTAGTGTAGGTAATAGAAAAGAGAAGAAAAGCAAACAATTCAAATACATTACTTTCAGATTTTAACTTCTACACATGCAAGTAGGTAATGAAATTACAGTGCAGGAGCCAGTCCCAACTGGGTAGAAAGCCTATTTGCTCCAGGGTTGGCTCTGTTGTTAGTCAAAGTGAGGCAGATGCCTTAGGAGGCACAAGCTGGGTGCTGGAGGAAAAAAAGCTCTTGCTGCCTGTCTTAAATCCTTTTATAAATCTGTTCTGCTTCCTTTAAACCAGGTAGAGGATATTGTCCCACTGAAGGAAAATTCAGTTATCAACCCAGTTGCCTTTTGTCCATGCCCATCATTATTGAATAATTGTGGTTACAAAATAACATACTGTAGTTACAAAGTCCTGTGTCTGCACTTTCTCCCCATTCCATCCTAGAGATAAGGTACAGAGATTGTTATTTTTTAATATCAGGTTTTCCCTCCCCCCCTTCTTTTCTCTCCTGACCTAGCTTTTACAAACATTGTGCCTGTTGAGATTTGCAGGCACAACATTTTTTGCCATTTTCTGTAATAAAGATATTACCGCAACATGGTTACAATACTGCTGGTTCCAGTCAGCATAAAATAGATAAATGAAGAGGCTGCCTGCTAAAGCAACATCTTAAGAAAAAGAAAACTGTAGTTATATGGTATGTTTACAGGATAAGCTAATACACACTTCTCACTGATATATGGAATTTCACACCCAGGGGATAAATCATGGACTTTCAGTATTCCAGTATTTATGTGCTTCATCGTTTGGCAGTCATTGCATGTAACAATAAGTCCAGAAGTTTGGAAAATCCTGGCCAATTGTTCCTAAGTTGCATGCTGGTGTGTGTGACCCATTTATTCTTGCTTGGCTTCTTTTGCAGATGAGAATGGCTGATCTGAAAAGCCCCCAAACTGAAAGTTTAGTGGGTTGTATTAACTGGGAGAAACAAGGTGGGAACCCCAAACAAGCCAGGGTTAGTAAAACAAGAACAAAATGTGGTTTGCAATTCCTGTTGCAAAGAGCAGCTCAAGCCAAGACCTGTGGTTCATACATTATGGTAAACATTAAAGTCCTATGTAGTTTAGACACTCATTGGTTTGAAGGTCCAAGCAAGAATGGACCGGCTGTATGGATGAACATGTAGGTTGTTCATGTGATTCTGAGTTACTGTGTGTAGATACAGTCCTTACCTTTTAAAGGAATGTGAGCCACTTTTGTCTTTTTGCTTCTGCTGAGGTACATGTGATAAAGGGAAAGGTAATAAGTTCATGCAGACTTGCACCCTTTTATCTTGTGGCAAGCCTCCTAAATACCCCTTTCTTCCAGTGAGCTATAAAAGAATAGCACTGTGTTCCCCTATTTACACTTTTGTCCAGCAGTATTATGCCAGTCTCCACCTTGATCTCAGACTAGTTTGCATGCATAACAATACAGTTCATTAAAGGAAGTAGAAACTACCAGTTTTGGGCAAGTTCCCTTTGGAAAGTTGCTGTGCCCATATTGTTTATAATCCAATCTATTATATTTCTGTGTAATGGTAAAAGAGAGACAGCATGGTCTAGTGGTTTGAGTGCTGGTCTATGATTCTGGAGACCAGTGTATGAGTCCCCACTCAGCCATGAAAATCAACTGGGGGACCTTGGGCAAATCATACTCACTCCGCCTCAGAGGAAAACTGACAAACTCCCTCTGAACAAATCATCCAAGAAAACATTGTAAGAAGTTCTTCTTAGGGTTGGAAACAACAACAGCAATAATAAAAGAATATGTGAATTTGTTTTATAAGGGGTTTTATAGATGCAAATACCCATCTATTCTGATGTGTTTAGGATTTATCTTTTCAACTGTGCCTCTGATGAAGTCTGCAAGACCAAAACAGCTTGCCTGGCAATTAGGATTGTAAACACAACCCTTTCTAGATATTCCCATTATAATCAAGTCATACAGCGCAAAAGCAAGATAGGTGTGTCATTTTTGGTGATAGTGCAGAGGAGTGGGATATAAATAAAATATTTATTATTATTATTATTATTATTATTATTATTATTATTATAAAGTTTCAGAGTTAGAAAGAAATTTATTTAATGTGAAATGTTTAAAAAGTCTACATTTTATGAATTTCAATAGGAAATACAGATTATGACAATGATTCTAGAGTCATAGTCCAGAGTAAGGTGAGTCCAGGGGAAAACTGAGTGCGTAGACTGAGTGTTCTTTTGCAACATATCTTTTTTAGTGCTCAGTTTGCAAAACAACTTGCCGCTTCAATAGCAGTTGAAGCTGATGTCATGAAAACTTCAAAGAAGCTTCCAGCTGTGTACATGGTCCTCCCCCAAGCCCATGCGCAGCCTCTATAGAATCATAGAGTTGGAAGAGACCACAAGAGCCATCCAGTCCAAA